AACCCAATCAACAAATGGGCCAAGGACCTGAACAGACACTTCTCAGAGGAGGACATACAATAAATCAACAAGTACATGAAAAAATGCTCACCATCTCTAGCAGTCAGAGAAATGCAAATCAAAACCACCCTAAGATACCATCTCACTCCAGTAAGATTGGCAGCCATTATGAAGTCAAACAACAACAAGTGCTGGCGAGGATGTGGGGAAAAGGGTACACTTGTACATTGCTGGTGGGACTGCAAATTGGTGCAGCCAATTTGGAAAGCAGTATGGAGATTTCTTGGAAAGCTGGGAATGGAGCCACCATTTGACCCAGCTATTCCCCTTCTTGGTCTATTCCCTAAAGACCTAAAAAGAGCATGCTACAGGGACACTGCTACATCGATGTTCATAGCAGCACAATTCACAATAGCAAGACTGTGGAACCAACCTAGATGCCCTTCAATAGACGAATGGATAAAAAAAAATGTGGCATTTATACACAATGGAGTATTACTCTGCATTAAAAAATGACAAAATCATAGAATTTGCAGGGAAATGGATGGCATTAGAGCAGATTATGCTAAGTGAAGCTAGCCAATCCCTAAAAAACAAATGCCAAATGTCTTCTTTGATATAAGGAGAGTAACTAAGAACAGAGTAGGGACGAAGAGCATGAGAAGAAGATTAACATTAAACAGGGATGAGAGGTGAGAGGGAAAGGGAGAGAGAAGGGAAATTGCATGGAAATGGAAGGAGACCCTCAGGGTTATACAAAATTACATACAAGAGGAAGTGAGGGGAAAGGGAAAAATAATACAAGGGGGAGAAATGAATAACAGTAGAGGGGGTAGAGAGAGAAGAGGGGAGGGGAGGGGAGGGGAGGGGGGGATAGTAGAGGATAGGAAAGGCAGCAGAATACAACAGACACTAGTATGGCAATATGTAAATCAATGGATGTATAACTGATGTGATTCTGCAATCTGTATACAGGGTAAAAATGGGAGTTCATAACCCACTTGAACCAAAGTGTGAAATATGATATATCAAGAACTATGTAATGTTTTGAACAACCAACAATAAAAAAAAATAAAAAATAAAATAAAAATGGTCAAAGCAGGGCTGGATGTGGGGCTCAATGACAGAGAACTTGCCTAACATGTATAAATTTTTTTTAACAGTTTTTGCTATAATTCAGTTTTATAGATTAGACATCAGTATTTTATTGATGTTAATTTTATGGTAAGAAATAGTTTTTTTTACATTTTTACTGGTGCATTACAATTACACATAACTTTGGGATTTGTTGTTACATATTTATACATACACACAATATAATAGTATAATTTGGTCAATTTCATTCCCCAGCAACTTGCAGCGACTTGGGAGGCTGACTTGGGAGGCTGACTCAGGAGGAACAGAAGTTTGAGGCAGGCCTTGGCAATTTAGCAAAGAATTGTCTCAAAAGTAAAAAATGTTTCAAAAAATAATTTGCCAGGTGAGGTGGTACACACCTGTAATCCCAGGGACTCTGAAGGCTGAGGCAGGAGAATTGCAAGTTCAAAGCCAGCTTCAGCAACTTAGTGAGACCCCCATCTCAAAATTAAAAGGGGTGGGCTAGGCATGTGGCTCAGTGGTAGAGCACTTGCCTAGCATGTGCGAGGCAGTAGGTCTAATCCTCAGCACCACATATAAATAAATGAATAAAATAAAGGTCCATCAACAACTAAAATATATATATAAATAATTTAAAAAACAGAAAGGGCTGAAGATGTAGCTCAGTGGAAAGCATCCTTGGGTTAAATCTCTAGTACCAAAAAAAAAAAAAAGAGTTTTCCTTTTAGAATGGATATGCTTTTCTTTTTTACTATTTTTTTAATTTACCATCTTTTAAAAAAATATATTTATTTTTTAGTTGTAGGTGGACATAATATCTTTATTTCATTTTTATGTGGTGCTGAGGTTTTAAGCCAGTGCCTCACATGTGCTAGGCGAGCACTCTACCACTGAGCCACAACCCCAACCCTTTCTTTTACTATTTTTAAGGACAAAAAACTGGACTGATTAAACAAAGTAAAATGTAAAATAAAAACAAGCTTACAACTAATTACTAGCAAAGGAGAAGAATACAACTACTTATTCTAGATATCAAAATCTAAGGACTAGTGAAGTAGCTCCAGTGGTAGGTCCTGGGTTCTATCCCCAGTATGGGGTGGGGGGAACAAAGTCTAAAATGTTTCATTCTTGGTAAAAAGTATACCCTTCATGAACAAGATTTTTTTTTTTAAAGGTAGAACCCTTTTTTTTCTTTAATACCTTTATTTTATTTATCTATTTATTTTTATGTGGTGCTGAGGATCAAATCCAGTGCCTCACACATACTAAGTGAGGGATCTACCACTGAGCCACACCCCCAGCCCCTAATTGTGTTTTCATTTGGCCTTTAACAAGGCCAAATGAAAACACAATTCCAAACCTCAAATGTTCTCACTTTACCCACTGAAATTCCCATCCTAAATTTGAAGTATAGGATCCAGTACTTCCCCCCCCCATTTTGGTCTATGAAACAAGATATAAACATTCAATAAAGTATGAAATAAAAGCCAATAATAGTATATTTAATCCAACATCAGGCCTCAGATTTTCCTTCCTTCCATTTCAGAAACAGAGTACATATACTTCCAATCCAAAAGTATCTCTAAACCCATTTTAGTGACAAGTATAAAATAAATGTTCAATAATCTGGTTATAAAGCAGAGCTGAAAGCATGTGAATGTTTAAAGTTCAAATCCATTGACATTAGTCTAAAATAAAGAGGTTATGTTTATTTAAAGTCAAGAGAAAGCAAGTTTTTTGCTATTGTTTTATTTTTATTTATTTATTGTACCTCTGGGCAGGGTTCCACATGACAGTCTTTTATTGAACAATGGCCATCTTCTGCCCAGAAAGGACATGGTCGCTTCAGATTAACCTGAGAAAAAGAATAAATTATTTTTGGTGAACGTGTATTATAATTACAGAATGTTTGTCAAATGTCACTGACTACCTGTGACATGGTAGTGAGTAGGCAGAAAAAGCTTCCTTTCATATGGCACCTATACAGTTCAGATTTTAAATGACTAAGTTTTTCAGACACCCAAATGTAATATCAATTTTTGAAATAAATGGCTATTAGTCCTGTGACACTTGAAAAAGGGAACAACTTTCAAATTCACTGCTCTTCTGAAGAACACCTGACAGCAATTTAGGACTACTATAATGTCTTCCAGCCTTCTTTTCAGGGTTCTCTTATGCATCCATTTTCTGAAGGAGTATGTACTGAGCATATGCAGTGTGTCAATCACTGGGCTAGGATTCAGGGAACCAAAGAAGCAGGAAAAGAACTCCTCCTGAACTTAAAATATACTGAAGGAAACAGAAATTAAATTAGTGTATGTTTATTTAATTGCAAGTTTAGCTCAATATTACAAAAGAAAACCCAGAGTTGTGTAACAGTTAGGCTGGTGGATGGCGGCTTCTGAGGACTCAGGTAACATTTCAGGAGAAATGAAAGCTGGTGGAACAGGCATCTGAGTAAGGCAATAAAGAGCTTGGATGTTACTGAGAACCATCAGTTGGGCTCATGTTTAGTGGGGAACAGAAATAAGGATAGAGAGAGGCCAGCAGATCATATAAGACAATTTAAGCATGTTTTATAAAAGCTCTACATTTTCATATTCTACACTTAACGGGAACCTGGTAATTCAATAGAACAGATGGATTGCCTATACCAAAGATCTAGATTATTTATTCATTTCCTCCCTTTATATAATTATCTACTTTTCACCACCTCCCCTATCAACACTTAACTCCTTAAGCTACTCTAATAGTCTCCCTGCTTCTACCACTATCTATTCTACACACCATCTATT